TTTAATTAATATATAGGTATTAATTATCTAGAAACCTTTAGTACTACCTATAAACCTAAGAATTATAAAGCTATATTTATAATTAAAATAAAGCTAGGCTAGTTTTTTAGGCAATTTAATATCTTTAATGCCTTCTACTATACTAATATAGATAAAGAAATATAAGTAAAACTACTTATAGGTTTCTCTTATAACTATAAAATAAATACCCTAAAATATATAGATAATATAATAGAAAAAGCTTTATATTATAAGCTTAAAAAGGCCTTATATAGTCTAAAATAGAGCCCTAGACTTTAGTATAAGTAGTTAAGATCTATAATTATAAAACTAGGCTTTAAAGAATCCCCTTATAATAAAGGTATCTTTATAGCTAATAATAATAATATAAGAGCTATAATAGCTTGTTACATAGACAATATAATAATAGTAGCTCCTACAAATAAAAATATAGAATATTTCTATAATAATGTAAATAAAGATTTACAGATATAAGACTTAGGAATTCCATATACGTTTTTAAGGAACAAAATATATATAAATAAAGTAAATAAGATCTTATATATTTATTAAACCAAATATACAAATAAAATACTAGAAAAGTATAATAAAAAGGATACTTATTCTTATAATACGCCTATAAATCCTGCTATTAAGCTTAGGAAAAATACAAGGCAAGTAATAAAAGAAGAAATAACTTAATATCAACAAGAGATAAGATCTCTACTCTTCTTAAGTCTTAAGACTAAGCTAGATATAATATATTTAGTAAATATATATACTTGTTATATAAGTAAATTATCTAAAAAGCATATTATTACACTTAATAAGATATAAGGATATATAAATAAATATCCTAATCTAGGATTAATATATAACTGTAATATTAATTTACAGTTAGTTATATTTTTAGACTTTAATTAAGCTAAAGACTTAGACAATAGAATGTCTACTACTAGATATATAAGTACCTTAAGGTACTATAATATAATAAGCTAAAATAGTATAAAACAGAAGACTATTACTTTATCTACTTGTAAAGCTAAATATATAGCTTTATATAAAGCTATAAAGGAATCTATATACTTATATAACTCTTTTTCCTATATATATAATAACTTAGAGTTAAATATAACGTCAAATAAGCCTATTATTTTAATAGATAACGAGACAGCACAACGTATAACAGAAAACCTAGAGCTTTATAAGAAATCTAAACATATAGATATAAAATATTACTTTTCTAAACAAGCTATATATAATAATTAAGTCTCTTTATACTATATCTATATAAAGAATAATATAGCAGATATATTTACTAAATCTGTTAATAAAGAAGTATTTAAATACTTTATAGAGACTATAAATCTTAATAAAAAGGGGTTTTTACTTAAAGAAACTATAAATAATAAAGAAATACTTTCTAAAAAGAAAGTAATACAGCTTAAATACTAAGGTTTCCCCTTTATAAATTTTTTTTCCTTTAAAGGTTTTTAATTATAACTATAACTATAATATAACTATTTTTCTTATAATTTTCCTTATATAAGGTTTTTATAAGTTTTATATAAAGTAAGTTATATCTATAACTTAGATATAACTTAAGGAGGAAACTAACAATTAAGAAGTAAAATTCTTACAATTCTCATATATAAATCTCTTTATAACTCTATAACTAAAAGTCCTATAAATATATAGTTATTTTTTCTAGATTCTTCTTGAAAAATAACCTATAAAAGTATATAGTACTATATATAACTATACTAATATAAACTACTATAAACTAATGTAGTTTACTGTATATAAACGTATATACTTCTAAGTATTATATATGTTAGCGCTTATGCTTATCTATAGGTATATATAGGTATATATATATATATATAAGAAACATATAAGTACCTTTTAGCGCTTAGATATATACTTAGATATATACTTAGATACTATACGTATCTAAAGGACTTTCTATATAACTAAGAGATATTCCTTTTACTTAGAAAGTTTTAAATAATAATAAAGTATAATAATACCTTAATAGTTAATATATACATACCTTTTCTGTTTACCTTTATTCTTCTTTACTTTTTATTATAACTATTATAAATAACCCTTGTTATTCTTACTCTTTCTAATAGTTAATTTAATATTAAAAATATATTTTTAGTTATAATTAGTATTATAAAAAGTTCTTTATTTATTAAAGTCTAATATATATTATATTATATTTATTAAAAGAGTAATAGCTATATTTTATATATTAAAAAGTTATAATAAAAATCTTTATTTAATTAAATTAATAACCTATTTAAGAATTATTATTTCTTTTAGCTTAATTATTTTTATTAGTTTTAATTATATTTCTTATTATAATAATTATTTAATATATTAGTTATAAAGTATTATTCTTAAGATATTATAAATAAAAATAGCCTTTTATATAAATAATTTTAGGTCTTTTTAATAGCTTAAAGTATAAAAAGAATATTGCTTTTATTTAAAGTAAAACGTATTGTTATATATAAAGTAAAGCTAAAAGGAAAAGGGAAGGTGTAGAAGGAAAAAGAAGTAGGCGACTTCCTATGATAGGTAACTTACTATGTATGTACGTTAGCGTATTTATTATGTTTTATAACTATAATTATATTAGCGCTTAAACTTTTTACCTCGTAGATTATTACTTACTAATCCTACATAGTTAAAAGTCTAAATAAATAGGTCTAGTACTTATAGCCCTTAGGTATAATAAAGGAGATAGAATTACGGTACGCGGTAGTAAGTCAGCCTTTACCAGCATTACGTCTTACTGTAACTCCCACAAGGAACCTTTGTTTCTTGCATTATGCTTTACTACCCTAAATCCTTAATACATTAGCCAGGATTAGAGGATTGTTACGGCCTAACCAGTTAGGGTGCTGGCCGGCGTAACTATATAGTGCAGAACAGGGGATAATGATGCAGGCGCATCGTTACCGAAGCTTTTGCTTTGTGGTGCAGTTGGTTGCCCTGACCTACTCGTAACAAGGATCTCTGGTTTCTACAATATAACTATTTGTTTACTTAGCTATTAAGGGAAAACCAGGCCGCCCTTTGTTGAATTGCACATCAAGTCACTACGCCTTTCCTAAAACTATAACATTAGCTATTTATAGCTCTTGTAATAAAACAGCCTAGTTTATAACTAAATGCTTTACCATCACAAACATAAAAACTTACAACATGACCACGTCTAGCGGCTTGATGCTTCGAACTGCTTTCGGCGCTACGACTCAGCTTCTAGAGCAAACCCCGTGGTGGACGCTATTTAGCTCAAGGGCGACATCATATTCTCGGGAAGCGGATGCACCGGACTACTTTACCGTGGTCACCGACTTCGCTTTCTGGAAAAATGCAACCAAAGAAAAGGTCACTGAGTGCACTCTGAGCTTATTCGAACGTAAATATGAGGCCTTCAACGCAACCAGTGGTTCTGCCACCAGATCAAATTTCGAGGTCAATGACCTCGTCTCTTTTACAGCGGCTGCGTTGGCCACAGGTGGCCGCCAAAACTTTCTTAATCTCCTTAACGTTGTTTACAACACTAAGACCGGGGACAACTACACGGTCAATTTCGGAGACATAGAAGGCATCAAATCGATGTTTCCGTTAGCATTCAGTTTTGATCTATTTTCGGAAAGCAATTTGAACTCTACAGATACGTTCGGCCTGCAGCAAAAACATTTACAATACCGAGAACGTTACAACGATGGCAGAGGCACTTTCAAACCAACTCACTGACTATTTACGGAGCGTCGACTCAGTGCGCTTGAATGCAGACCGCCCGGGAAACGATACTGCGAAGAACGCCACGTTTGACACTATTTCTTCAGTGCAAGGTACTGCGTTCCACAGCGAATCTGTTTTCAGATTAACTGGTCGTGGTTTATATTCCCCGCCGGGGTTGTGTCAATCGCAGCCCTGCTGCTGCTTCTCGCAGTGTATTCAAACTGGTTGCATCGTGGACCGCTCTGGAAGTCATCTAGCTTACCATATTTGTGTCATCCACTAGAGAGTAAACCCGAGCTCAAGGATGACGCACCCGAAGGAGTCCATAGCTTAACGACTTTGAACCAGATGGAGCGTGCAGCAGGAGCCACTAGAGTACGACTCAGGACATCAGACGGCGGGAACCTACTTTTCGTTGGAGAAGCAATGCGGTCAGCTTAGTATATCTGTGTTTCGTTTTCAATGCATTGATGTTGTTTTTTTCAAGCCTTTTAGTGATTATGAGACCGCGCTCATTTAATGAAAGCTTCTGAATAGAACACTTCTTCTCTATTGGACTTAACGACTTTGGACTTTGTAAGCGGCTACAGCCTGTCTCCTTGTGGCTTGATCCACAATCCCACCGGCTGCTCTAAAATCTTATACAGGTACTGTACAGTACACACCAGGCTTACCGTAAACGGTTTCCTTGACTTGTAGGTTAATATATATATTAGACTAAGGTAACCTAAGAAAAGGTATAGTTATAACAGTATAACTCGTTTAGCTGAATAGTTGCATGTTAGAAGAATATACAAGAAGTGTTAATAACAGAGCTTATATATATAAGCACCAACAGATCTTTTATGTTATTTTAGTTAATTATTTATAGTCATAGATTCTAGAGGTCCTTGTTACAAAGTGTTACTGTTAGCGCTGTGTTATATATTAACTCACGCCTATATATTAATTACTAATATGTAGTCTACTAAACTTAGTTATAGTTATATGTTTACTAATATTAGTTAAACACCTTTCAAGATATAACGTCTGCTTATTCTAAACAGAAACTCATAGATTAGTCAAACCAGATCTTGTTAATTAATTTGCTCTGATGACTAAGCAACCCTAAGAATACTGTGACGACCCTGAAATCCAAAAGGACTCAGACCTCAGAAACCCAGAATCCCAACTGCTGTTCTATGAACACCCTTTTGTATTTCCAGCCAGGCACTTATCTCTAGGCAGTGCCTCCTAATCTAGCAGCCTGAGCGACCAAGGGCGCGGAAAACATCAATGCAAGCGGCGCCGGTGTACTTGTTGTCGGCCTGGCCCGCAGGGCACGAGCAGTCAGGGTCGATGAAAGCAGGAGTTCCGGTGCCTTTGACACGGGAGTCATTGCAAATGTTGGCGCAGCGGCCCTTCTGGTACTCGCAGGAGATAGCACCGCCGACGCAGATGCGCTTGCCGTTGGGGCCGCTCTTCTGGGCCGAGACGCCGAGGGTGAGGAGGGCGGCGAAGAGAACGAAATTGAACTGCATGGCTGCGGTTGTTATGTAGTTTGTTGGGGATGGTAAGACGGAGAGTAGTGAGGTGAGTGACTCGTTTTAAGATTGGTGGTTGGTAAAGTGACCTATGTTTGGAGATTTCCAAAAGAATTGGATTACTTACTGACTGTTGAGGTTTTTTATATCTCACCGCGGTAGCATTTTGGTCTCCTGTATTTTTGGACAGCCCTCTGACGTCGCTCTAGATTGCATAATAGTTGCCGGATCACTATCAGTGATAAATTGATTTACCCTGGTGAGTTCCAATCAAAGTGGCGCCGAGTTCCGTGCGCCGAGTTATGAGATGAGAGACCTCCGAATCAGGCATTCTGTTCCGGAGCCGTAGATAGGAAGAGTCCTTACCCGACTAAGATACCTTGCTTGCCAGGAGCTCTCCAGCAATGTAAAATCCAGCTGGACACTGTAAATTTAGTTAGAACGGCGGTCAGTACATAGTCGAGATTAAACGCCTACAAATCCACGGATAAAGAGCCCGGAGAAGCTACACTAGGTAAACTGGGTTACTAGTTTCGGATGAAGGGGCCGAAATGCTAAGCTTAATTAGGTACTTTAATTGAATATCCACAAATGTCTAACATGCATGTGGCGTTATCTTTGCGCATGATTGGTGTATTGCCCGTCTCCCCTTAAAACTGTTCCCGCTTAGGCAGAGTGTGTGGATGTATATTGAGTATTGAGGAGGCTTGATCGTTGTGAAAAGTGGGTTTGATGACTCATGAACAAAGTGAGATATGGCAATGGAGGGTCATACAGATTAACCTTCCCAGTCTTGTTGAGTGGCCATGTAGGTATAAGAGAAGTTTAATATAATCATGTCTTAGATTCCTGTAAATGACTGTGCTCCTTGTATCCCAGGCAGACTAACACATTTTTGGACTTGAAATGCCCACGTGGTAACTCTTTTCCCTGGTCAAGGGACAATCGTATTGTTAGTGCGATCTGGAAGCGTGAGAAATTGGGTGATGCAGTCTCTCAGGTAGGCCATTGTATTAGAGAGGCCGTGGACTGCAGTAGTGCCGGTTTTATAACACGGCGGTCTCGCAAGGCTGTACAGAGCGACGGTAAAGCAGCATAGGTATCACAAGGTTGCAGTAAAGCAGTAGCTAATATATATACATAAGGGAACAGTCAAGTAAGAGGATTAGGGCCCATGGCCTTGTGTCGTGCTTGTGGAACAATTGTTAGCAACGATTATTAGTTTCGCTTGTCACCTCATCAGCTAATGGCCTTTTGGCTTCATGACCACAACTACTCAAATCTTCGACTGCTACCTCAGCCTTCTGCCCCATTGCTAGAATGCGCCACCTTCGCAGCTAATTTATACCCACACTCGGGCGCGCCGCCCAGAGGACCTTCCGAAATCCAATTCATTCGTTGGCTGTATTGATGACAAACACTCCTGTAAATTTGCGGATGACTTGAAGCCTAAGAGAAAATCTCTTGCTACATTTACTCCACTTGGTAGCTTAAGGGAAACACGAACTGCGACCAGGATTACATTTAAGATATATTAATTACGACACAGGTCCTATTTCCTGCTTATGAAACCCCTCTCTCAAGGGACGTAAATCGGCAAGCGCAACATAGGCCTGTCTCTAGTCTACCCCACTACACTAAACCACCTTGATGGGCTTACCGAATCTGGTCATGTTAATTCTAACGACTTAAGTGGAAAGTCTCGCCTACATCTCGCCATATTAGCGTCGCTTCATGCCTCCTTACTTTATTACTTATCCACAATTAGTTGCATATTGTAAGTAGAATATAATAAGATCAGATTTTGTGGTAGGGGGCCTGTGCGCTACTGGCGTAGCGAGTTTATAAGAGGGTATTTTTGGTGTGGTTAACACAGTATTAAGACGTCCAGTCTCTTATATAAGCATTCTAATTCTTGATACAAAGCAACCATCTGTGACAAGCTTTACATTTTGTAGTACTCTGTTTGGCAGTAAAACGCGCCACTGCAGGTCACGCTGGTAGGCTATTTAACTAAAGGGATCAGGGGTGTAGCAAGAGTGTAAGCGCGACTCGTCGCGTATTCAACGTAAAATCAATTCAACATGCTCTCTTGACGCATTCATTAGACGTCGATGATAATCGGTGTTATGAGAGCTGAGAGATTGAGCGACAAAAGATTGCACTGACCGGTCGGTCCGTAACATTCGTCGGCGGCTTAGTGAAGGGTGCAACAGACATCCGCGTTGATCAGGAATTCTTACGCCTACCACGCCACAAATAAAAGCAGTCAATTTACGCAGAAGGTGAACGTGCAAGGAGCGCATGTGATTCACAGAGAACAAGGTGTGGTGCTAGAGGCCGATAGCGTTGAGATGCTCACTCACTTTGGTTCTCTCAGGTGTTGTCAGCGCCACACTTGCGGGCTTTCAATGGATTTGCGGCCCAAACATAGCGTTCAAAAAACGTTGTCATTCCTTAACCAGGAAATTTCATCCCGTGTGTTTCCAGGCTTGCCAAAACTTGTTATCGCAAAACGTGCCGGTTGGTTGTCCCCAGACATCAGGGACTTATCTGTGCGCACGTTTATTCTCAGAAATAAGCACATTCAGCTATATAACACTACCACCGGGTGGGAACATAGATTGAGAGGTCGGTAAAGTTCGTAAAATACTAGACGTAGTACAAATGGCATTGAGTTCTCAATGCATTCTCCAGACAATTGTTCCGGCCCATTATGCTGTATTGGGTTGATATCCGCTTTCACACAGTCAAGATGCCTAACTGTCGTTACGTCAATGTGGCTGTTGCGGACATGGGGCTGGCGGCAAAGCTCTGGTACACTTTGGTTGTTGTAATAAGGGCAGCCTGGACTCAGTGGGACAGGACAACTGGAACTCCAAGACTCGTCACCCGCTGAAATGGTAAGTATTTAAACGCTGATCAACTAATGCATTATTCACAGTTCGGCCCATGCTCTCAGCCAGTACCCATTGAATTCACCGTCAATCATGTTCAATACATACAATAGGTCCAGCTTGCTATTAAGTCTTATCATGGCGGTCTTTTTGCGCTATTAGGATCCCTGTTTCCGACAATGTTGCTGTCCACATGGTCTGCTGTTCTAGTGCTTCCAATGTCTTGAGGTACTCGTTGTATTGCCTCTGCAACCGCATAGAGTAGACATCTAAATGTAGGCAACTCATCACTTGAAGAACTAAAGCTGATGGCTAGTGTTTTGGAAAATCCCTTGATCTAATGCGCGCGCCTACCTGTTAGCTGGCTTGATCTGTCGGTTTTTTCCCCCTCTGGGTAAAGTGCCTAGCCTTTTACAGAGCTAATAGTAGCCTATGTTCCTTTAACTAGCCTGATTGAACGCTTAGTAAATGAAAAAAGGCTTAACTAACGAGTTGATTTAATAGGTTAGTGTCTTTAGGTAATAAGGCCACCTAATAGCTAAGGTATAGGACATTGATAGTTAATAGCTCGAAGTTCAGACCTAGACCATCGTGTTCATCCCATAGAGCTACATTTTGCTATTTGCTCGCCCCGTACATCCATACCAGGTGAGTGGAATCGTCTCCCTGCTCCCTTATCGGCTGATCGAACGTCGTTGCATGGTCCTTCTAAGACGATAACTTTGCCGCCATTCTTCGAAAGTTCAACCGCTGCAGTATGGTTTTTGAAACCTTCCACTGCTTTAATACTGTTAGATCCCGTGATGAAGATATCCGAGACGTATTAGATAATCTCATCACTCGATCGCACTTGCCAAAACAAAATGCATTCTACGGCCTCCGGTTTCTGCCACTCATTTTCTTTGGCGATTGCTGCCAAATGAACGATCAAGCCTCGGTTGTGAGCGAAAAGCTTTCTGAACGTGCTGTTTACTGGTAATTCTCTGCTCGAATTCATGTAGATTGATGCGGGAACTTCGATAACAGAGCCATTTGAAAGGGTCGTTGACACGCGGTTGCTGATGTTGGCTTGGTTGAAATTAGTGCTTTGTATCTTAAAATCTCTAGATCATTACAAACAAAGCCTATTAAATAATAATGATGTTATGCCGTAGTAGTAACTAGTTATATTACGTAAATTGAAAATTTCTTGAGATAACCTTCGTGCCTATATGTTTTCAGCACTTATCTTTAACTAACTTAGCTTTCTTGCTGTACATGTGATATAAATTTACTTAAGTGAAAGTAACATCACTTATAAAAACCAACATTTTATCATAAATTAATATTGGGCTCATGAACAACAGGTGAACCAGAGGTTAACAATTAAAATAACCTAACCTTTTAGGTTAAGTTTTTCCTGTTCCTTTCGTCCAAAGGTTAATCCTTATTTAAATTCACTTGTTATGGTCAGATATCCGACAGTAGAGTTTTCTACTAATAGGTAGCTGAAGTCGATACTCGGTAACATTAAGGTAAGTCCTGTTGGTAATCTTGCTGGTCTGTTAGTGTCTGGTGATTAGTTAGGTATATCTAAGCGTAGGTAGCTTATAGCTTTATAATAGAAGGATAATCTAAGAGTTACTTAACGTACATACATAGTGAGTCGCCCATCATAGTGAGTCGCCTACTTTTCTTTCCTTCTACACCTTCCCTGTTCCTCTTAGCTTTACTTTATATATAATAATAAGTTTTACTTTAAATAAAAGCTGTATTCTCCTTATACTCTAAGCTATTAAAAAAGACCTAAAATTATTTATATAAAAGGCTACTTTTATTTATAACGTTCTAAGAATAATACTTTATAATTAATATATTAAATAACTATTATAATAAAGAATATAATTAAAATTAATAAAAATAATTAAGTTAAAAAAAAATTAATTCTTAAATAAGTTATTAATTTAATTAATTAAGGATTTTTATTATAATTTAATAATATATAAAATATAATTATTTATTTATTTAATAAATATAATATATTATATATTAGACTTTAATAAATAAAGAACTTTATATAATAATAATTATAACTAAAGATATATTTTTAATATAAAATTA